CTAAGTGACGCAATGGGATAGAGTGAAGGAAGGCCTGACTTCAAATTGCCCCTTAGACATTTGCTAGCTGTGTGACTGTGGGCAAGTCACTTAGCCTCTCTGGGCCCTCAGTTTCCTCATCTGTAAAATGGGGATAGTAATAGCATCTACTTCACAGGGCTGCTGTGGGGATCTAATGTATTAGCATATGCAAAGTGCTTTGCAGATCTTTAAGTGCTGTTTAAGTGCTAGCTAATTGTTACTATTTTGTTTTTGTCTCAGTATCCACATAGTAGGTGCTTACAAAATGTCTGTTGAATGTTAGGATTTTGTTAGGAATGTTAGGAATCGCCTGGCAATTCCTCTGCAGCCATGTTTGGACTTTTTGCCTTTGAGACCTAGAGAGCATGTCCTTTCCCCTGCTTGTATCACCTACATCTCCTTAGTAGGCAATTTGATGTTCTTCTATCCCTAGCCCTCCCAGGAAGCTTGGTTTAGCTGCTGCTAGGGATGGATGGGGAGGAGAGAGCGTAGGCTGGTGGATGCCAAGCAGGCTGAAACCTGCCTTGGAAATGTAAATGTCAGGAGCCAGTCTCCTTTTCTGAACTGTTAGCCCTGGGACCCTGTTAAAGCTACTATGATGCAATCCACAAGGTATTTGCATCACTTTCCCAGATTACTACGCCACTGGTTTTCTATGCTTGTTAGGTCTGCCTTCCTTCAGCATACATAACACAGAGATCTGCAGTGGCGAGGGAGTGCTCAGGATTGAAAGTCAGAAGAGTTGGGCTCAAATACCAATCTGCTACTTATATGATCGTGGGCAAGTCACTTCCCTTTTCTGAACCTCAGTTTCCTCACCTGTAAAATCAAACTAGATGACTTATATGCTCCCCAAGCACTTATTAACTGTGGAAAAAATATACATGAACAAATCTATATGGGCAGCTAGGTGATGTAGTGGATAGAGGGCCTGGACTGGAGTCAGAAAGACTGAGTTCAAATCTGACCTCAGACATTTATCAGCAGCGTGACCCTGGATGAGTCACTTAACCCTGTTTGCTTCAGTTTCTTCACTTCTAAAATGAGCTGGAGAAGGAAATGGTGAAGCCACTCCAATATTTTTGCCAAGGAAACCCCAAATGGGATCACGAAGAGTCAGACTGAAAACAACTACCACGAATCTGTATACACAGACATATACACATGTGGGTACACATAAGCATGTAAATATACCTGTGCCTACAAATGCACATGTATATACAAATATATGCACATAGAATATCAAAGATAAAATAAACAGAATCAGATTTTGAGCTAGAAGGGACCTTAGAAGTTATCTAATCCAATCATCTTATTTTTCAGACGAGGAAATAAGTCCAAAGACTTGCCCAAGGTCACATAGTAGTCAGTGGCAGAGCTAGGGATCAAAACTGGATTCCTCTGACTTTATCACCCTTTCCATTGTACCACACCGCTCCCTACAGGGTTAAAGACTATTCTGTGAAAGAAGGGTGGTCATTCTGGAAATCCTCGTGGTTTTATGGACTGTGTTGTTTGTCAGTCAGTCAGTCAGCCAGCCTTAGTTTAGCCTTTATTATGTGCCAGGCACTGCCCTAAGCCCTGGAGATACAAAGAAAGGCTCTCCTCCTAATGCAGGAGATAACATGCAAACAACCATGTGCAAACAAGATACACACGGGATGGTTTGGGGATCATCTTGGAGGGAAGGCACTAAGATTAAGAGCTGGAAAAAGCTTCTTGCAGAGGGTGGAATTTTAGCTGGGACTTGAAGAAAGCCAGGAAAGCCAGGAGCTAGAGATAAGGAAGGAGAGAGCTCCAGCCATGGGACACAGCCAGTAAAAACAGTTCAGTGAGTCTTTAGGCTCCATGGTGTGGTAAAAAGGGCACTGTCCTAAGAACCGAGACCTTGCAAGGCTCTGGTCCTGGTTCTGCCAAAAAACTCACTTGGTGGGACCCCGCTCAAATTGCTTATCTTTAGAAGCCTTGTCCTGCTTGTGGAAATGTGTTGATAACTGTAAAACCCTCTGTGCAGGCAAGGTGATCTTCCATAGACCCCCTGGGCTTTGCAATTACAAATCCCACTCCCTAATCCTTCCTCTGGTTATACTTAATGTTTTCTCATGGCCCAGAGCCCTATTCAATTGTCTTACCAGCCCTTGCACCAAGTCCCTTACCTCCAGCCCTTGGGTCTCCATTGCCCATCTTTCTTTCTCTCTTTTTTTTAAAAAAATCTTTTTAGGCAGTTGGGGTTAAGTGACTTGCCCAGAGTTACACAGCTAGTAAGTGTTATGTGTCTGAGATCGGATTTGAACTCAGGTTCTCCTGACTCCAGGGCTGGTGCTCTATCCACTGCACCACCTACCTGCCCCCATTGCCCATCTTTCAAAGCTGGGTGTGACAGACCCTGAAACTGGCTTAATGGAAAGAGTGCTGGACTTCAAATCCTGTCTCCAACACTTAATAGCTATCTATCTGTCTATATCTGTCTATCTATCTATCTACCTATATCTGTCTCTCTATCCTATCTATATCCACCTACATCTAACGAGTCATTTCCCCTCTCTGAGCCTCAGTTTCTTCATCCAAAAAATGGGGACAATAACACTGGCACTATTTCATGGGGTGGTGGTAAGGAAAGTGCTTAGTTAACCTTAACGGGGTTATATAAACATAGGCTGTTCCTGCATGAGATGCTACCCTGGAGGGAGCAAGGCCCCTTCTGACTCTGCTAGTCTTTGATTTGCTGCCCAGTCACATGTTGCTCAAAGCTGATTAGGGTGAGACAGACCCTAGGAGCAGGTCAGAGGCCCCTACCCACACTCACCCTTGCAGTCACCTGACCTGCTTCTGTCTCTGCAGTGCCGGGTTCACTCAACCATAGGGAGAGAAATTCCTGAGCTGGGATACCAGTGCCTCTAAGCCCCGGTGAGATTTAGAGCTGGGAAGGACCTTGCAGATGATTTAGCAATGTTTCCTGAGGCCAAAAGAAGTGAAGCAATTTGCTCGAAGCTTCACAAATAGTGAGGAGCAAAGTCGGGCTTTGAACACAGGTCCTCCGGTTCCAAATCCTGTGCTCGTGGAATTTCACTGTATTTTCCAGCCCTAAGAAGATACTCTTCACAGGCTTTTGGAGCTAGAAAATGCCTCAGAGTCTAGAAAATACATCAGAGCCTAGAAAATACCTCAGTTGGACCCAATTGCAAGGGTCCAACCCTTGCAATTTGTAATGCTTTCTCAATCCTCACCCACTGTTCTGTCAGCTGTAGCAGAAAGAACATTGGCTTTGGGCTCTAAGGACTTGGTTTAACCTCTGAGATTCCTCCCAGCATTCTCCTTGTCAGTCCAGTTGCCCAGCTCTAGTTGCTATATAAGCCACACTCTCGGACTGTGTTTACGACTTTGGATGAAGGCTGGGGCTGAGTCACACAAGCCACTAGACTTCATGGTTAGCTTACTCTGCCAGCCTGTATAATCCCATACTGTACATCAGAGTGGAAGCTACACTGTTGATCACATGTTGGTCATGGCCAGTGCTCCCCTCTGACTCCTCTGTCTCTGTAGCCTCAGTCACATCATCTTCAAAGACAAGGGATGAGATGGTCAGTGATGGGCCTTATAGACTGTTATACATGCTTTCTTTAGCATTTATCTGATACATCACATAGGACATATTTTGTGTTGGTTACGAACTCTTGTATCAGTGATCTGAAGGCCATTAAACGTTGTTTCTGAAAAAGATCCAATCTCTCATATTGGCTTGGCACAGTGCATGGCACATTATAGGTGCCTTATAAATGTTTGTTGATTATGGATCTGAAGTCCAAGCTCCCTATCTGTTTATAAGTACTCATACTAAAACTGTCAGTCATGCCTGCCAGGTGATCTTGTCTTTCTGAATCCCATCTCAGTTATTTTGACCTCCAAAGCATTATTTTCGAAGCCGAACATCCAATATATGCATATTACGAGTACACATGATTTATCAAATGCTTTCATATAAACTATCTCTTTTGATCCTCAAGCCCCGTGAAATAATCAGAATACAGATTGTTATCCCCATTTTACAGATGTGGTACTTGGGTTCAGAGAGGTAAAAATACTTGCCGAGGTCACAGATCTTGATTCCCACTCCAAAACTGTTTGCATTTACTATTTTTTCCCTTGCTTTTTGGTGAGGCAATCAGGATTAAGTGACTTGCCAAGGGTCACATAGCTAGGAAGTGTCTGAAGCTGGTCTTCCTGCCTCCAGGCCTGGCTCTCTATCTATTGCATCACTTTGCAATTGCCTCAGTAGATAGATAGATAGATAGATAGATAGATAGATAGATAGATAGATAGATTGATGGATCAATAGGTAGAGGTAGATAGATGTCACTAGATAATAGATCATTTATTAAGTAATTGCTATGTGCCAAATACTGCACTAAACCTTCCCCCTTCGTTCCCTTCTTTCCCCCCTCACACACCCTCCCCCTTCCCCCATCACCTGCAACTAGGGAGGTAAAAACTGTTCAACTGCTGCTGATTACATTTGACTGTTCTGTCCTCTGCCTGGACAATGACCTTCTCCCCTAGGGCCTCAGCCTGTGAGATAAATTCCCCTGGGGAACTCGAGGAGGAGAGCCAATCACAGCCTCCCAGGACAGGAGGAGGGATTGGGGTGGGGAGGAGGAGCTGGGGTCAGGACAGCTCATTTGTTGGTTTAAGCCACAGGTGGGGAGGCCTGGGTGGGAAGATTCTCCGGGTCCCTGCTTCTCTGGGAAGCCTGCCACGGGCATGGGCACATTTTTCTGGGCCTTGGGAGGGCCATAATGGTCTGAGGAGGCTGAGTGGTTGCTGGCTTTATAGGGAGAGCCGGGCAAACAATCAGCAAGCGTTTATTAATTGCCTGCTGTGTGCCAGGCACTATACTGGGCCCTGAGGTGCGGATACGAAGACAAAGGAGGCCTGTCTCCTTGCCTTCTCCATAGCCACTAACTCTCCCTGGATTTCTCTAGATAAGATGTCAGGCAAAGGCACCGTGGTTCTTGCCTACAGTGGAGGCCTGGACACGTCCTGTATCCTGGTGTGGCTGAAGGAGCAAGGCTATGATGTTATTGCCTACCTGGTGAGCCTCTCTATTTGCCTGTGACAGCTGTCTCCTTGTTAACCTGTCTCCCTGACAACATCAGTTTGTCTGTCTCTCTTTGTGTCTGTATCAAAGTTTTACCTTGTCTTGGTTAGGCCAAATCCTGTTTGGATGGGGTGAGGGTGGAGGGGTGAGGGAGAAGACTGATAAGGAGCTCAGACTCTGCCTTTAGCCTAATGACTCTAGGCAAATTACTTTATTTTTTCATTTCCTCACTTTCATCTTTAAAATGTCTCCTTTTCTAGTGTCAGTAGCTGGAGATTCAGAGAAAATATCAAGCATGGCCTGGGGCTGTTATGTCTTCAAGGATCCTGCATCCTAGAATATCTGAGTTTTACGAACTTCAGAATACAAAGCATAGAATGTCAGAATCAGAAAGGCCCTTAGCACGTGGAGTGTCAGAGCTTAGAAGGATCTTAAGACAGAGAAAGTGAGAGCTGGAAGGGGGGCCTTAGGACTGAGAATGTGAGAGCTGGAAGGGGGGCCTTAGGGCTGAGAATGTGAGAGCTGGAAGGGGGGCCTTAGGACAGAGAATGTCAGAGCTGGAATGGGGGTCTTAGGATAGAGAATGTCAGAGCTGGAAGGGGGCCCTTAGGACAGAGAATGCCACTCTAAAGGGATCTAAGAAACCATCTAGTCCAAAACCTTATTTTGTAGATGGAAAACCAAGACTCAGGAAGGACTGCTCACCCTGGACCATGCCAGTCCTATGCCACATCCTTAGAGCCTTTCTCTCTGCCAGAGTCTGTTTATGTCTACCAATCCAGAAATGACATGACTCTCCATTTGTCTTAAAATGAGCCAAAGGCTGCAGTGGAGAGAGGTTGGTGTTCAGCTTTCAACTTATCCACAAGAACATTGTGTTGTTACGGTGTGATAAAGCCAGGATTCTAACCACAACAAAAGGGGCCCCGAGGTGGCATAGCGGGTGGAGGGCTTGGAATCAGGAGGACTCATCTTCATGAATTCAAATCCAGTTTGAGACACTTATTAGCTGTGTGACCCTCAGCAAGTCACTTTACCCCGTTTGCCTCAGTTTCCTCATCTGTAAAAATGAGCTGGAGAAGGATATGGCAAACCACCCCAAGTATCTTTGCCAAGAAAATCCCAAATGGGGTCACAGAGAGTCAGATATGACTGAGATGACTGAATAAGAACTATCACAATAAAACCCCTTAATTGAGATGCCACATATTTAGAATTTCTTATGGTTCAGACAGGAACAGAGCTAATATTTGTCAAGTTAGACCTCAGTGGTCATTGGACTTGATCGAAGAGGGGGAAACCCCATTGAATTTGGAATTAGAGAACCTGATTTGAAATTCTTGCTCTGCCATTTAATTCCACATGTGATCATGATCCGGACACTGCTTCTCTAGGTCTTAGTTTCCTCATTTGTAAAATGAGAAAGGCTGGAGTAGATGCTTCCTAAGGAGCCTTCCTGGTGTCATGTCATTTCTGAGATTCGTTGCAGTAAGGTCCCTTCCAGATCTTCACTTTCTATGATTCTATGGTCAGGCCTAAGGGCTCAGCCTAATAGGAGGGGGAGCTAGCAAGTTCCATACATAAGATAGGTCAGAGGTTAAGTTGAGTAAGAGCAGTCAAGGCAGGGAGGGGCAGGCAAGTACTGTGAGTTGTAGAAGTGTAGGGATCAGGAACCCTGGCTAGAAGGTTGGGGCACAGACATTCAGGAAACCAGGCCTGAGGATCCAGTCAGTGAGAACAGGCCAGGGCCAAGAATCCAGGCAGCAAGAGGTCAGGATCTAGGGAAGGAGCACCCTTGGTTGGAATGAAAGACTTAGGAACTCTGATCAGTGTAATGACAAACCACAATTCCAGAGGACATATGATCAGGGGGTTAGCAAGCCAAGGCTTCCTGACAAGTCTGTCATTGTACTGTCTATGGAAGATGGTTTAGCTCAGCAAAAGAAGTGAACAAATACAATTATCGGGGAATTTTTACTTACTAGAGGGCAAATGGTGGTTTAGAGATAGTCTACATGTTAAATTCAAGCAGGGCCTAGCTGATCATTAAAGCAGACTCCTAAAGACCCGATATTTTATTAACTCAGAGTGATTACAGTGACTTAAGTCCAACAAAATAGCAGTTCTTTACAAAGTCTCTAATTCAGACAGATCTTCCCCAAATTAGTCTCAGTGGCTGAGGTGTAACAGTACAGAAATGTCCTTGTTTGTTTCCTCATTGATAAGAACACCATGATCACTGGCCAGAGCCATTGGTAGGAATAACCGTGCTTGAGGCAAGCAAGGCACACATATTGCTCTTGGGCCAAACTGTACAAAGGTGCCCCTATTTAGGGGGAGGGTGTGTGAATACCTACCTCAGAGTGGGAGGTGAGAGACTAGGGGAGACAAAATCAGCATTCTCTCCCTATCTTCCACACCATTCCCCCCCCCCCAATGGGAAAGAAAGAAATACCCTGTTACAAGCATGTATAGTAAAGCAAAAAAAAATCCGATTTTGGCTATGTCCAAAAAAAATGTCTCATTTTGTTCTCTGAGTCTTTCACTTCTTGGAGGTGGGGACCATGTTTCATCAAAAGTCCTCTGGAATTGTGGGTTGGTTATTATACCAATCATAGTTCCTAAGTCTTTCAGAATTGTTTGTCTCTACAATATTGTTGTAATTGTATAAATTGTTCACCTGGTTCTGCTCACTTCACTCTGCATCAGTTCTTAGAAATCTATCCAGGTCTCTCTGAAACCATCCTCCATCATTTCTTACAGCTCAATAATATTTCATCATACTTAGATATAACTTCACTTGTTCAGCAGTTCCATAATGAATGGGAGCCCCTTCTGCTTTCAGTTCTTTGCTACTCTTAAAAGGTCTGCTATAAATATTTTTTTACATCCTTAGCTAGAATTTGTTTTATTTAGGACTACTCCCTCCCTTAATCCATCCTCTCTTATTCTGCTTTCGCCTTTCTCCCCTTTCTCTCCTGTTGTTCTGTTGAGTGAAATGTATCTCGCTAGCCAGCTCTGTATATCTATGTATATTCTTTCCTCCCTTTGACCCATTTCAGATGAGAGTGAAAGCCAAGTGTTACCTGCTCTTCCCACTCTTTCTTCCTTGTTTTCTATAGACTTCTATTTGTACACCTTGATGGTATGAGTTTATTCTCTCTAACCTTCTTCTCCTGGATATTGGATCTTGTTGCTGGGGAGGCTGCTATATGGAGGGGGGAGAGAAGTACAGTATGAAGCTCAGCCTACCCCCATCCCCATCTGGTGGTTTCCTATTTTAATTAATTATTCTTCCTATTTAGGTGTTAAACTATTTCTACATGACTGAAAGACTCTAACTGCTGTCAGTGCCCTTTAAATCACCCTGGGACACAGTCTTCATAGCCGTGGCTTAGTTATGGCTCTATCCTTAGACATCTATCAGCTATATAGTACCAGGAACCAGACCTGAGTTTTAGTGTCACCTTTGATACCAACTGGTTATGTGGGCAAGTCACTTTATTTCTGTGGGTTGTCCAATGGAATTGAATTCAGTTCAATTCAGCAGACATTTAAGTACGTACTATGTGCTAAACATAGAGACCTCAAGGTAAAAAAAAAAACACAACCCTACCCTATTGAAACTTACAATGTATTAGAAGAAACTGCAACATAGATTAAAAGCCATTCTTTATACGTTTGTTCTTGAAGAAAACCCCAATAGAGCTGAAACATAGTATGTTTCCTATTCAGTGAAATTTTTTCATCACCTGCTCTATGTAGAGTACAATGGGGGCAAATACAGAGACAAGTAAGACATGGTCTCTGCCCTTAACGAACTTACAATCATTTGTGATTGGAGTATTTATTAAATACTTATGTACAGTGGGCTAAAGCTAGGTCTTTGGTGGGGGAAAGGGTGTGGATAAAATAAAAAATCAGTCAAAAAGCATTTAAGTGCCTACCAGGCACCCTACACTGGCCGTACAATTACAGTGAATGAAACAAGGAGTCTAGAAGTTTACATTCATTCATTCAACAGATATTTTAGTACCTACTGTGTGCAGAATTAAATTCTGCTTAATTTATCAAGTATTTACCAAATATCTACTGCACTGTTTTTGGTGCTCAGGATACAATGATGAAAAAATGTCTTCATTCTTGCCTTCAAAGAGCTTACCATTTAACCAGCCTGCCTTACTTTCTTCATCTGAAAAATGCAAATAATAATAACATCTACCCCCCAGGGATGTTGTGAGGATCAAATGAGATATTTGCAAAATCCTGAAGCAAAATACTAGCTATTAATAGCTATTTTTTTTCTAGAAAGGGTTATGCACACAGTAAGTGCTATAGAAGGTAGAACGTGATGGGGGCAAAGAGAGTGGGTGTCCTCCAAGGCTCTGTCCTGGACTATCTTTTTTCTGTTCCCTCTCTCTTAGGACCCTCCTCAGCTCTCAGCTCCAAGCAGATGGCTCCCAAGTCTCTAGACCTAGCTGTAGCCTATGTCTCAGTCCCATATCCCCAACACCCAACCCCAACTGGAAGTCCTGAAGGCATCCTAAATTTCACATGTCTGAAACAGAACTCATCTTCTTTTCCCCCTCTCCCCTATCCAACTTACTTTGCTTCTTTTCCTCTCTCTTTTTGTTAAAGGCACCACTCGACTGCCACTCATCCAGGTTTACAACTTTGGAGATTTCCTCAGTGAATCCCTCTTCCCTTGCCTCATGTAAATCAGTGCTGAGTTTATAGATTCTATCCCCACCACATCACTCACATGTGTCCACTTCTCTCTACCCAGGTGGCATCACCTAGAACGTGCAATAGCTTTTCCTCATTGAACTCCCAGCCTCCAGGTTCTTCTCTCTCCTTTGCTCCACTTCCCATTCAAACTGGCCTTCCTGTCATTTCCCCAAATCCGGCCCCTCCATCTGCTGCATTCATGTTCTTCACAAGGCCATATCCCATGCCTGGAATGCCCTCAGAATCCCCGAATTCAGCAAACCAGTCTAACCCTTCCACAGAGAGAATCCCCATTATAACATTCTGGACAAGTCAGTCATCCTCTGCTTGAAGACTTCTTCTGGTGCAGGGGGAAATTCACTTCCTCTGGAGGTAGCCTAGTCCTCTGTCCAGCTGTACTCCTTAGCATCCTGGCATCCTTCAAGACCTAGCTTGGGTGTCATCTCCTATAGGAAGCCTTTAATCATCCCTATAGTAATTAGTTCTCTCTCTCCCTCTCCCTCTTCCCTCCCCTCCCCTCCTCTCTCTCTCTCTCTCTCTCTCTCTCTCTCTCTCTCTCTTCTCTCTCTCTCTCTCTCTCTCTCTCTCTCTCTCTCCCTCTCTCTTTCTCTCTCTGTCTCTCTCTCTCCTCCCCAAATGATCATATACATACTTATCTGGGTCACAGGATCATAGAGCCAGAGCTGGAAGGGTTTAGAGGCCAGCAAGTCTGACCCTCTCACTTGACAAATGAGGAAACTGAGGTCCAGATTGGTTAAGGGACTTGCCTAGGTCATACTAGCGTGTGTCTGAGGCTAGCAAATGATTCAAATTCAGGTCTTCCTGATGCCAGGTCTAGTACCCCAACCATTATGTAATATTGCCTCTTGGTAGAGATCTGGACAAATATAATTTCCTCAACTGGCATATTGGAATAATAATGTCTGCTCTGCCCTTGTAGGTATTGTAAGGACCAAAATGAGATGTAAGGGCTTTGAAAGTAATGCATACCCTATTAAGCATAAGGGATTCTTCCTTCCTTGCTAGGAAGGTTAGGCAAAGCAGTAGCTCTTTCTGAAGTGAGAGTCCTTCTTTCCCACTTTGGAGTGCCCCTACATTCATGAGATCTCTTTGCTCCTCTGTTTTTCAGGCCAACATTGGACAGAAGGAGGACTTTGAAGAGGCCAGGAAGAAGGCACTGAAACTTGGAGCTAAAAAGGTAGTGATCAGATAGGAAGTGGGAACTGGGCAAGGGGTGAAGGTAGAGGGTGGGCACAGGAGGGGCTGGGCACAGGAGGTGACAGACAAGTTACAAACTTTGGCTGCTGGTTATTAACTAAACCCCAGCCCATGCTGGGTGTAGACATAGGTAGCTTCTCTCAGCAATAAGCAGAAAGCCTAGGGACTTTTCCAAAAGTTTGGCTTGGAGGCCCAGAGTTTAAATTTATGCCACTAGCTGGGAAACAGAGACTCAACCTTCCAGCTGGTTTGGATCTTTTTTGTTCTTTGCCACTTTCTCCCATCCTGCTTAGGAAGGTAAGCAACAGAGGGAAAGGGGTTATCCCCACTGGGAGGAAATTGGGGTGAGAGCTAAACAATATCGGACCCTTTGGAGAAGAAAAGCCTTACTCTCCTGCCCCTGTGACATCTCATAGGATGGTGCTAGTCCCTGGAATCAACGCCTCCAGGCCCTGTGGGAATTTCCCTAGCCTTCTGGGCAGAGATTATTCTAGTTTGCTTCTAGGCCAGTGTTCTGGTTTGGATCTCTGTGCCTATCTTCTTTAAGGCAAGACTTTCAGACCAGGCCCAGATGTCCTTCAATGAGCTTTTGCTCCTTTCACCCCCTAGGTTTTCATCGAGGATGTCAGTAAGGAATTTGTGGAAGAGTTCATCTGGCCAGCTGTTCAGTCCAGCGCCCTGTATGAAGATCGTTACCTCCTGGGCACCTCCCTCGCCAGACCTTGCATTGCTCGAAAACAGGTGGAAATTGCCCGTCGGGAAGGGGCTAAGTACGTGTCCCATGGAGCTACAGGAAAGGTAAAGAATTATCAGTGCTATTTGAACAGGATGAGGGTGTGGGGGAGCTCTGTAGATGGCAAAGAAGCAGATGAGTCTCTAAGGAAAGATGCCCGACAATTACAACCCTTAATGAGGAGACCAGAGAATTCCATGGTAGGATCATAGCTAAAGAGAAGGAAGGGACCTGGGAAGTCATCTTGTCCCACTCCCTACTTTACAGATGAGAAACCTGGGGCCCAGAGAGGCTAAGTGAGGTCTTACAGATAGCTTGTGAATATGACCCATTATGACAAATATACCCCAAACGCTTTCTCTATGACTCAGGAATGTAGTTGGAGAAATGAAATTCGGCAGACCCACATTCAGACAGAACACTCCGCGAATGCCTATGGTGGGGAAAATGGTGGTGGTGTAGGGCGCTCAGAGACATAGGCACCCCAGTGACCCACAAAACCCCAAGGGAAGTAGAATCAGATTAAAATGTAATTGGGAAATCTTTAACAAAAAATTTAAAAAATACAATACAGCATAGATAATGTTAATTTGTGGTTTTCTAAGTCAGTATGTGGCCCACAGGGATTGGTTTCTATTTGAATTTGACACCACTGTTGTGGAAGGAGCTGGACTGGGTCAAAACACCTAGTTTCTAATCCAAGTTCTGCCACTGAGGAGCCATGTGACCTTGGGCCAGTTCCTTCTGCCATTCTGGGCCTCAGTTTCCTCACATGTAAAGTGAGAGAGGTTTCACTGGCTGATTTCTAAGGTGCTCTCAAGTCAACAATCTATGACTGAGTACACTTGCTCTGGACAGAGTTCTGTCCTGGAGGTGGGGAGTGGGAGAGAAAATATGAAGTCTCGGTGAGATATGACTTGGTCTTTCAGCTCTACAGTTCTCTGAATCTGTAACTCTATAAAATGCCTGTTCCCCCCTGTTCTGCGCCCTTTCCTGCTCCTTGCTGGTTTGCTCTGCTTTTGGTGGCTTGGATGGTTGTGGGACATAGTCCCTGATTCACTGTATGCACATGTCATAGCTGAGGAGAATTGATTGAAAGTTTTAGAAATTGTGAGAAAACCAGTTGCTTTAAAAAGGGGTGGTCAGGCCACTGAGGAGTCTGAGTGGGCAGCCAAAGGACACCTATGTCCCTTGTACACAGATGTCATGTTGCAACATTTATCCTTCTGTGAATTAGAGAGGAACATGCCACATTGGAGCGTGATTTCAAGGTTATCCATCTGACCTGAAAAACCACGTCATGGGAGGAATAGCTGAGGGAACTGAGAGTGATTGGCCTAGAGACGTTGGCATCAGACACCCGAAGTGCTGTCATGTGGGAGAGGGATTAAGCTTGTTTGGCTTGTCCCCAGGGAGCAGAACCAGGACCAGGGGCAGGAAGCAGTAGGAAGGAGGATCTTGGCTTAACATAAGACATTTTTTTTTAACAACTACAGATGTTTCCAGAGGCAGTGAGCTCTGGAGGTGTTCAGACAGAGACATCTTTCATGACATCTTTCAGAAATGTTGAAGAAGATAATTCTCAACACGAGATTAAATTTTTTTTATTATCTTTTGCCTTTATATCATCTTCACTTCCAAATATAAGCCTCTGCCTCCCCAAACCAGAGAGGAGTCCTTTGAAGCAATGCATTAAAGGAGAGAAAAAATAACCCATCAAAACTTACCAGGATATCAACTGAGTCTGACAGTGTATGCAATTTTCCATACCCTTAGCTCCTCACTTCTACAGAGAAGGAAGGAAGATCCATTTTCTCAATCTCTTCTTTGAGGACAAATGTGGACATTACGGTTAAACACCTTTCAGTTTCAGGGGTTTTTTTCTTATTTCTATTTACATCGTTGTAGTAATTATATACTGTTTTCTTTGTTCTGCTTACTTCACTCTGTATCAGTTAATGTCAATTTTTCCTTGCTTATCTGAATTCTTCACATTCATCATTTTTTACTGTGCTATAATTACTCCATCAACAAGGATTTGGTAATTACTAATGTGCCATGCACCAAGCGCAGTAGTATCCCATTACATGCACATACCACAACTTGCTTAGACATTCCCACTTTAGTAGAAAAATTACTATTTTTTAGTAATTTGCTACCACAAAAGTGTTGCTGTGAATATTTTGATGTATATGCAACCTTTATTTTTGTCCCTGACTCTTTAGGGTAGATGACTAGCAAAGGAATCTCTGTGTCAAAGGGTCTGGCTATTTCCAGGATGGTTGGATCACATGGTAGCTTCATTAACAATGCATTAGTGTTCCTACGTTTCAGCACCAACGTAAGGTTTTATAATCTGCAGGGGTGTGTGTGTGTGTGTGTGTGATACAGAACTAGTTCTTTGCATGGAGATGAATGTTCAGTATTTTCCATGTGGGAAACTAGCCCCTTCAGGCAGATTCCCATAGTAATGAATTCCAGCCAGGGTGAGGCCTGGTGGTAGAGAGATTTTGTTTGTTTTAAGACATGAAATTCAGGTTGATTTGAGACTTCCATGTATATAGACCGTAGTAACTGTGTGTCCTCTATTTGGACACTAGAGGGAACCAGAGACTTACGTTTAAAGCCCTTCTGAGCATCTTGGCCCTGGGGATTGTGCGGTCCAAGAAAACTGAATTGTGTAAGGGAGGACACCTTAGGATAGGCAGCAGAGACACAGAACTCTCTCTTCCTATGTGTCACTGAGCTGTAGCTCCCTAGACTCAACAATCATAGGGTCATAGCTTAAAAGCTGGAAGAGCTAATTACCTAGAGTTCATTGAACCCTCTCACTTTATGGATGAGAAAACTGAGACTCAGAAACACAAACTCATTTGCCCAAGGTCATACAAATAGTGAGTGACAGGTAGGATTTGAATCCAGGCCCTCTGACTCCAAATCCAGGAACCTTTTTCCACTTTACTATGATGCTACTTCTGTAGTGTCCTTTAAAACCCACAAAGGCGCCGTTTTGATGTGTTTTCAAGGCAGCCTGATACAGGCCTTGATTCTAAGTCGAAGGACCTGGGTTTAAATCCAGTCTCTGATGCTGACTTTTTATAAGACCTTGAAAGCAACTTATCCTCTCTGGGCCTCAGTTCCATTATCTGAAAAGGAAGGATGTTGGACTACGGGGCCTCTGAAGTCCCTTCTAGCTCTGGGATCTAATATGACAGGTCTGAATGCCAGGCTTCTTGGTGGCATGAAGTCTGGGGGATGTTCCTTCCCACCTTGCTAATGGGAGATGGAAAGCCGTAGCAGGAGATAATCCACCCTGTGGAAGGTGTGCCCCAGGATGATCAGCAGAGACTTGTCTCCCAGGAGGGATGGAGATGATGAGAAACAAAGCAAGAGATAGGTAGAAGGCACACCAGCTAAGAAGTAAGCACTGAGGATGAGGTAGCATAGTGTGGCCGGGTGGGCACTGACCTTAGAGTCAGGACCCCTGGATTCATGTTCAAGCTAAAACACTTAGCCACTAAGTAACTGAGCAAGTTAGTTAATCTCTCCAAGCCTCAGTTTTCTCATTCATAAAATAATTGGACTAGATTGGGGGTTCTTAACCTGGGGTCCCCCTGTGGGAGCATGTATAGATTTCACAGGGTTTGTGAATGTGGGTCAGGAAAAAAACTTCTATTTTCCTCTAACCTCTAGCTGAAATTGAGCATTTCCTTTGATTATGGATATAGACATCACACATTATTCTGAGAAGCGCTGGGGTCCCTCATGTTCCCCAGATTGCCAAGAGGGCCTGGGATGCAAATGAGGTGAAGAACACTTGGCCTAGGGGATGGTGAGGATTCTTTCCAGTTCTCACATTCTGAAATTCTGTAAAATTTCATGGCAGTTTAGGGTAAAGTGGAGGGCAGAGCCCTGAAGCTTTCAGAACCCCATTTCTTGGGAGAAAGGAAGGAGATCCCCCTGTAAAACCCACTTCTGTGCGTCAGTAGGGATAGAGACAAGGACCTGCAGCCTGAGACTTCCAGGCCAGTAAGGGTTAGGAAGTAAGGTCTCCTAAAAGTTAGTGACATTATACCGAATGCTCAGTTTGGTGTTTGCTCAAGAATAATCCCTAGCACTAGGCACAATGAAGCTTTTAAAGTACTTTTTGGCCTTTCTCATACCTCATTCCAATGGATCCTCATTACTGCCCTGTGTGGTAGGCCAAGCAGGCATTGCTCTCCTCATTTGACAGATGAGGAAATGGGAGGCCCAAAGATGTGAAGTAATTTGTTCAAGGTCACAGTAAGTGCTGTACTGGAAAGAGTGCTTTTATACATACACACACACACACACACACACACACACACATGCATGTATATATGTGTATATATACACGCATGTGTGTATGTGTATATATATATATATATATATATATATATATATATATATGTATGTATGTACATTTCCAACCTGGGTTAGAACCCTTGCTTTATATATGGGTAACCTTGGTCAAGTAATAGGCTCATAGATTCTAATCCTAGAAGGGACAGTAGAGGTCATCTAATCCATTCCCTTCATTTTATGGTTGGCTAGGGATAAAGAGGTGTGAAATTGAGGCTGAGAGGTTAAATAACTTACCTTGGATCACACAGTTCTCAGAGCCTCAGTTTCCTTATCTATCAAATGGGAATAATGAGACCTATTGTAGTATAATGAGGATTAAATGAAATAATAAATGAAAGCTACTTTGTAAACCTTAAACTACTAAACACATGTAAGCTTTATCATGAGGTACTGTGGCCTAGTGGGTAGAGAACAGGCCCTAAAGTCAGGAAGGTCTCAGTTTAATTCCTACATTTGATATATACTGGCTGTGGGGCCCTGGGCAAACTACTGAAAGGCCTATGGGTCTTATGGAGGCAGCTAAGTGGTACAGTGGACCTGGAATCAGGAAGTCCTGAGTTCAAATCTGACTTCAGACACATAGCTGTATGACCCTGGGCAAGTCATTTAACCTCTGTTTGCCTTAATTTCTTCAACTGTAAAATAGATTTATAATATCACCTAAAATAATGCATCCCAG